AATAAATTACTCTTTTTCTTGTACCAGGAGGGCACTTTGCTTTACAATGGCAAACATACATACATACATAAATACATAATTATAAATACGTACATACTTAAATACATGCACAAATACATTAAATACATGCATAAATACGTAAATAAATACATGTACGCCGGTACAGAACAATTAACAAACATGCCATTGCCGGTCGCCACTGTGCAGCGCCCTGAGGTATTGGGGTTTGTGTGTGGGGGGAGGGGGAGGAGGAGATAACGCTATAATGTCAGGAACGTGTGGCCACTGAGCTGAACATATAATATATTGTTGTATAGGACACCTTGGGTGTGAAATCTCAGATGTGTTTGGGGTTTTTTTCCCCCCAAATCATCCATAATGATTTAAAATACTGCTTTCTTAATTGAAAAAGAAATTCACCCACAGTGCAAAATAACATGTACGTTTTGGTACGTCTTTCAAAATAGTCCACTGAAAAAAGAAATAGTCAAAGGATATTTCGTTCTGTCTTACATTTTTAAAAATATTTAATAAAATACACCCTGTTGGAAAGAATGTTCTAGCTAGATCCATCTTGAATAGTGTGTACAGAGTTATCACTTGAGATTTTCATCAAAACTGGTTTTGCTTTGTCTCTTTTTCCAAAATCAAAATAGTTCAACCCTTTAGCGTTGTTCTTTACTGAATATACGTAGACATGAAAATGAACCAGCTTCGATGTCTTTTCTTCAAACCAGTGCATAGAAAAGTTTTTGTCAACACATCACGAGCTAGCCCCCACGGCGGTTCCACTGACTGAAGTGTCTTTAGGCCATTCCCAAAGGGGGGACATTTCTCGTTCTAGTGCATAGTAGAATTGTAAATGGCCTGATCCAACAATGTCATGCTCATAACTGTGCCTGAACTACAACAGGGAACTGCTGCTTTTTCTTTCCTAATGCTTACGATCGTCATTTTCCTCTACTTCTTTTGTATGTTTGTCACACTCTTGTGACCCGCTATTTCCGGGGTGTCTTAATAGTCGAAGCAGACTTTGTGCTGTTGAAGCTAGAGAGGTGAGCAGAGTAAGTCTGATTCCCTGTGTAAGGACTTCTGTTGACATCCACCCCTTGGCGCTCATATGACCTTATGCAGTTGCGAGCGCTGTAAAACCTCTACTAAAACAAAAAACAAATATCACGAGCTTGGGGATATAAGCTCAACACATCAACTCACACGAGAGAGTTCTGAAGGGAGTAGGCAACGTTCATATTCTCAGAGAGGTCGCCCAGGTAAAACTCGTTTCTGCGGACCATCTTCCTGATTCTGCGCGTGATCTTGGTCAGCTCTTGTCCCAGAGCGGCGAACTCGTCTTCCACGAATTTCAGAATGGGCTGTGCATCCGCTGACACGGACTCGGTGATGTCCCTGTATTTTTCGCTCACCTGAAGAAAAAAAAGATATCATAGCGCCCCGCATTAAGATCATGCCCAGTAGAAGAATAAGATTGGGATTCACAGGATATGAGGTCAAGGGGAAGGCCTACTGAACCAGGAGAAGAGTCTTAAGCTTAGAAAATGATGTATTGAAAAGTTGAAAGAAATATTGGAGTATGCTTATTACACGATAAAGCCTTACTTTGAAGGGATCTAGAGAAGGCATCAAACGAAGATATAAAGTAACATTAATATTAATAGTGCACATCGATATTTACAATTTGATCATCATCGTCATCCTCACCATCATCATCATCATCATCATCATCATCATCATCATCATCATCATCATCATCATTATCATCATCATCATCATCATCATCATGTATCCATTCACGCATCCACTCTCTACAAGTGGATCTAGCACTCGTAAAATCGTAAAAATGCCCTTATAATGGTTTCAGAATATTATCACCACCCAAACACCATCAATTACGTACATGACAAAGTTACGTAGTCGGATTCATCTCGTCACTGATCAGATCAACAAACCAGCGCTAATTGTGTGCGTCACTCTCTCGTGTCAAAGACAAATCGTGTC